GGTCAATATATGTTTAAATCTTTAAATGACTTGTTCTGTATAACCAATAGGTCCAGGGTTATGATATTTTGCCAACAGCATGCTGGGTTGGAAGACTTTAAACTCTGTTCAACCTAATGTCCTTGTTCGACATTCAAGGTCACAGGCGTCATATGTTTAAATCTTTTAATAGGTTCTTATGAATCAAACACTGATATTCTGCCTGTAGCTGTATTTTAGTCCACTTTTAAGATTACAAGTGTGAGATTAATACCAGGTGAGCGATTCAGGCCCATTGGGCCGCTTATAACTGATCAGTGATCAGCAATAAGAGGTACAGTAATGTACCCTCTGTCAGGTGGGTGATACAGCATGTTAAATATGAAGCTAGCCCAGCCTGATACGTAAAACAGCTAGGTAATTACCCCACCTTCTACAGGTGTGTGATACAGCTAGCCCAGCCTGATAAGTAAAACAACTAGGTAATTACCCCCACCTTCTACAGGTGTGTGTATAATCAAGTGATGGCATGCAAGTCTCATGAATATGATCAGAAATAATGGTGTTAGAAATATTTGTGACACCTGTTCTCTCCTACGTGGTTGTGTGTAGCCTATTAATTTTGAAACTTTTCCTAGCCACAGTTGTTTTTATTTAGGTTCATTTAAAATGTTCCAAAAAATATGTCTATATGAAGCCTGATAATCTTACACAGTGTTTCCCTGTGGATGGTTGTGTGTAACCAGGTTAACTTACACAGACTTTACCTGGGGATGGTTGTGTGGAACCAGGTTAACTTACACAGACTTTACCTGGGGATGGTTTTGTGTAATCTGGTTAACTTACACAGTCTTTACCTGATGATGACTGTGTTTAACTTGGTTAACTTACATAGACTTTACCTGGGGATGGTTGTGTGTAACCAGGTTAACTTACACAGACTTTACCTGGTGATAGTTGTGTGTAACCAGGTTAACTAACACAGACTTTCCCTGTGGATGGTTGTGTGGAACCAGGTTAACTTACACAGGCTTTACCTGGGGATGGTTGTGTGTTACCTGGTTAACTTACACAGACTTTCCCTGTGGATGGTTTTGTGTAACCTGGTTAACTTACATAGACCTTACCTGGGGATGGTTGTGTGGAACCAGGTTAACTTACACAGACTTTACCTGGGGATGGTTGTGTGTAACCTGGTTAACTTACACAGACTTTCCCTGTGGATGGTTTTGTGTAACTTGGTTAACTTACACATACTTTACCTGGGGATGGTTGTGTGTTACCTGGTTAACTTACACAGACTTTCCCTGTGGATGGTTGTGTGTTACCTGGTTAACTTACACAGACTTTACCTGGGGATGGTTGTGTGTAGCCTGGTTTACTTGCACAGACTTTCCATGTGAATGGTTGTGTGTTACCTGGTTACCTTACACAGACCTTACCTGGGGATGACTGTGTTTAACTTGGTTAACTTACACAGACTTTACCTGGGGATGGCTGTGTGTAGCCTGGTTAACTTACACAGACTTTCCCTGGGGATGGCTGTGTGTAACCAGGTTAACTTACACAGACCTTACCTGGGGATGGTTGTGTGTTACCTGGTTAACTTACACAAACTTTCCCTGGGGATGGCTGTGTGTAACCTGGTTAACTTGCACAGACTTTACCTGGTGATGACTGTGTGGAACCAGGTTAACTTACACAGACTTTACCTAGGGATGACTGTGTGTAACCTGGTTAACTTGCACAGACTTTACCTGGGGGTGGCTGTGTGTAACCTGGTTAACTTATACAGACTTTACCTGGTGATGGCTGTGTGTAACCAGGTTAACTTGCACAGACTTTACCTGGTGATGACTGTGTGTAACCTGGTTGACTTACACAGACTTTACCTGGTGATGGTTGTGTGTAACTTGGTTACCTTACACAGACTTTACCAGCTGGGGATGGCTGTGTGTAACCTGGTTAACTTACACAGACTTTACCAGCTTGGGATGGTTGTGTGTAACCTGGTTAACTTACACAGACTTTCCCTGGGGATGGCTGTGTGTAACCTGGTTAACTTACACAGACTTTACCAGCTGGGGATGGCTGTGTGTAACTTAGTTAACTTACACAGACTTTCCCTGGGGATGGCTGTGTGTAACTTGGTTAACTTACACAGACTTTACCTGGGGATGGTTGTGTGTAACCTGGTTAAATTGTTTCTCTGGAGAAAGACATGTGTAAACTAGTGAATTAAATAATTCATATTTAACAATTTATGTCTAGGTTTTTTGTTTAAACAATTGGAAATCTACACAGTAAAAGTCCAATTTGTTTAGTCCTTCATATAAAAGAAATAGAAAAAAAGAAATTAGGGTGCTTTGACTTACATTTTAAGCAAAAAATTGTTTAATGTATGTTAACTAAATATTGTAGTTAGAAAAATTAAATATTTAGTGAGAATAATTAAAAACATCATTGAAAAAGGTCCATTGTCGGGACTCATGTTTGTCTACTGAAACATAAATCTTTATTTGAAGATATTGGAGTAAATGCTTGGCTAACCGAGGTTTGATTAACTGAGCCTTGTGGTCCTAAGTTACATACATTATACATTGTAAAATATCACTGATTCAATCCGTAGGGTTTTAGTTCCATGATTTATTTACGATTTTCATTTAATACCACAAAATTGATCGATGTCTTTGTGTAAACACACTGTATACTGTAAAAACGACAAGCTTCCTAGCTAACAAGTTCATTTTCACTTCCTATTGAGGGATATATGTAGAGTCTAAATCTATAATAAGTGCACGAATGACCGCGATTCTATTTCTGTGATGGTTGAAATTGCAGTTAGGAGATCAAACAGCTGTGCCTTTAACACAGAGTTTTGCAGTAGATTTTTGTTGAATTAAGTATTTATGCTGTGTGTTTTATTTTTATCAAAACCGTATAAATTTGGTTACTTTATCTTAATTGAAGCTTGTACATTTTGTGGCTCCTGCAGGTAGACAGAGATTTTTTTAATCAAGATGATGCTGATAGTTTTATTATAGAGTTAGCTTGTTTCCCTGTTGAAGCTCTAGGTTATCATTTTGATTACAAACTCCAGGGAAAGGGCCACTTTTTTATACATTTGAAATCTACATCATTGACGATGTGTAAACAAGGTGAATAGTGTGTTATTTACGAGCAGATATATCGAGGGCATAGATCCCGTCACGAACAGAGGCTGGGTGTACTTTATAGACAAAACATGGGCTGCAGCTGGCTACACGGTAGTGACGGTTGTACTTTACGAAGAAAGTTTTCTCCTTTTTTTTTTTAATTGCTTCAATAAAACAAGTCATTATACAGTCAACACCTGTCTGTGTTTCAATGCATGTTTGCCAGGTGGGAGTTGCATGTAAACTCAGATACCCCCCCCCCATTTGAGGCATGTAGTGTGTATTGAAGGAGAACCTGAAGCATGCATCACCATGTGTAATGGAAACAAAAACACTTTGTATAGAACTGTTTACTGACACCAGATCAACATACATGTCAAGGCCGGTCAACTGTTAATTACCGGGTAGTGATTAACCTTGGACTGCCCACATTATACACCGGAGAGCACAAGGTCTCGTATCAAAAGGAGTATTGAATATTTATTTATATGAATATTTCCTTGGAAACGATGTAACTCTCAGAGGTAGAATGAGTTGTACCTGTATACAGTACAATGGCACCTTATAAGCCAGAACAACTCATTTTATGTTGATTAGCCAGGAGTGAAAAGGTCTCAAATTTTATGTTTCATTTTTTTTAAAGTTATATTCATTGGAAAAGATACTTTTGTGCATTGTTAGAAAAAAATGGCCCACCAAAGAAATAGGGATCTTGTTTTCACACAAGCAGAATCTTTAGCTTTGTATGAAGGTGATGGGACAGATGAAGTGCCTTAGGTCATTTGGAATGTCTTCAGGGAGTACTGTGGAAACAGGAAAATTGTTTGAAGGAGGAAAATTACTTAAAGAAAATCACTGCATTGTTAAACAGAAATTTCTGATCATTAAAAAGAAACAATATATTTTCATAACCAGCATGAAGGGCAAATGAAATGATGCTGCAACACAGCAGTGTCTGTCATCTGTCCGTCTGCTAACTTTTCCTTTAGGTGACAGAAAGGGTTAGAGTTATGATATTTGGCTTCCCGAAAGCGTTTGCAAATAAAAAATTACCCATACCTCCTTTCAAGGTTATATATGTCAAAAACTGCAATCAACTTCTTCTTAAGAACCGAAAGGCCTAGAGTCATGATGTGAGGTTGGTAGCTTCCTGAGATGGAGCCAAGGAAAGCTTACAAATAAAAATGACTGATTAAGCTTAATTTAGTCCATTTAATTGTTTTTGACATTTGTCCACTTTTTAGGTTACAAGTGTAAGATTACTTCCATGTGAGCAATGCAGGCCCCTTCAATATTGAAATATCTTTTTACCAGGTTATATTTCTGTATTTTTCAGGCTCATGCACAGAGGGAAGAGAGCTACATCAAGCTACAGCAGCACCGTCAGCTCCTGAAGGAGGACAAACACAATCTCAAAGAACATGAGCGTGAGAATGCCAGAATTCTGAAGATTTCTGAACGTTCAGACACGGCCCTTACAGAGACATATTAGGAGGAGCGACACCTCATCACTGTACTAGGCACAGGTCCTATTCTAGGAACACTGTAGGTGCCAATCGAAAAGCAGCGCACTGGGCAGAAAGAAGAGACAATGCTGATGTAATGCTTGAGTTGCTTGCTTCGGTTGACTTTCTGGTGAAATGTCTACTGGAGGGATTGTTGCAGGTCCATGACAGGGTCTGATGGGCTACTGAGGGTGTTAGTGGGACCAGGACCTAATACATAGCTTACTGAGGGGTTGAGAATGACCTATGTCACCGGACACACAGTCCCTTCACTGATTAATATGAGGCTAGTAGAGTTGTGTGCTGTGGATCACATATAGGCAGACTCACATAAATACAGATTTATTTTCTTTGTTATTTAAGATTTTGTAAAAAAGATTTTACATTTTGAACTTCAGAAGTAAAATTTGTTGTGTACTTTTAATATATGCCTTTGAACATGCAAGTGCTCTTTATGGTGGTCCTGTGAGGCCAGACTGAACTAAATAATGACCTCACCATCAACCTTGTGTTAACACTGCATGTCCTTTACTTCTGTGACTGTGTCTGATCTGGTTCATTTATATAACTAGTTCATGCCATGTTGTGTTTTATGTTCGTGTTTAAGGTATATACACATACCGGGGAAATCAAAAGTAACTGTTGGCTATGTCATCACTGGCAACATATCGTATAGGCATTCATCAAACTCCTGCCATGTAGGAAATATCAGTATACGTGTGTGCAATAATTACAGAATGTTCTTATCTTTGGATTTCTCGTATAATATGTAATGAATTATGATAGTTAAGAAATAGGACATTATATTCATTTCAACTGAGACAGAGTTGAGTCTCTTAGTATGTTACCCTGAATCATGCAACATTTAGATTTCCTATTCTAGCTCAGTTATAAGGGATTTAAAATTAGATATTATAGAAAAGCTCAAATAAATTAAAAATCTTTGCAACTCTGGAAACTAGAAGGTAATTTCTTTTTTCATTTCTGTTATTTCCTCTGCATTTATACAATGATAAAGATAGGTTGTGGGCCTTTTATCGTCAGTTGGGACTTTTTGAAATGATTTCCATTATTGACACAGTACACAGTCCCAACCAAAGACAGAATATGTCAAATGTTTGTGTGACCTCAGGGTTGCTTAAATTCGACATGTTCATAGCCCTGTGTAAAAGCTACAATGTATATCCATACATAATGGAAATATGAATTATAGTTCGCCAGTGTTAAAATGGGGTGTGAAGGGAGGTGGATGGGTGTGAGGATGGAAGCTTTCAATACACAATGGGAGTGTGTGTGTATGTATTACTTGTCAGAATACAATGGGCTCTAGCTGTATGTGATAAACAGTGTTTTCCCTAGGATCTGAACTTTTTCGCACTTTTTTTTATAAAAGTAATTCTTGTTCTAAAGGAAAGAGATTGTGTATATAGCTATGATGTAAATGGTAAGAGCTTTCTTTGAAGCTAAAACTACTTATTTACAAAGCAAACTCACTTATTTACCGATAGATCTGAGGACAGATGTGACATCTGTCAGCTAATGAGATTAATTGATTACTGTTTGTCATTATAGGATTGTCTGTTTATGGATGCCATCAGGGTCAAGGTCAAAAGATAGATCAAGGTCAACTTGTGGATATACATTTTATATAGTGTACTGCTTTGAAATTGTGATGGTGTTCGCTATCAGAAGATAACATCGGGATGTTTTTGTAGATACATTGTGTGTTTGATATGGGTAATGATGCCCACCATCTAGACTTACAGTTGATTTATAAGGGAGGCAGTCTTATCTCTGGCACTTTGTCTATTTACACACTATTAGGAACAATTTGCTCATTGAATATCAGAAACTATATACTCTTCATACATCTGTTAGATAGAATTATACCTCAGAGTGACAATGTGTGTGCCAGTCCCTACTTGTGTGTAGTGTATGTGTTGTGTCATCCTTACATCAGACTCCCTATAACAGTTATACCCAATCATCTGTACCACTTATACCAATTTCATAACACTGATGACCATATGCATCATCACTAGATGGCGATCTCTCCACCTTGGGTTAAAGTCCCTGTCGCTATTATCTCTGGTGTGTTGTTAGGGGTGACTTGATATCCTTTGTGATATTATGGTTAGTGATGACATTTGAAGATTAACAGAGGATAATATTGATACTATTGCAGCTCCAGATTTAGTTGTTTTGTTATGTAAAACACTGTATTAGCTATTTAAAAACTTGATCACCACTTCATGTCTTTAATGTATTACGATATCAACGATGATACAACAGCGCCTCTCTGTCGAAGGTCATGTACCATGGTAAAATCTGTCCATAAAAGTCATTTGTGATTACAACTTTTCAGGTTAAGGGAAACATCAAGTTAAAATAATATTATTGCTGTTGTCACTGTTATGAAACATTCGTTTAAGTCATTATCTATAGAAGTTTTCTATATAAGTCACATCTTATGATACATGTTACAGAATTATACTCAAACTAGGAAGTGGAATAAAAATCTTCAAAAACGTATTGATAACATATATTTAAACACTTCGAGAAGAACCACATCATTTGAACAAGAATTTTTGCTTTTAATCATAACAGCAATGATATGGTAAAATAAAAAATGAATATTTTTGCCCCAACTTCATCATCTTACATGAACAGACATGTTTTTCTTACGGATATTATTTTTACGGAAAAAATCTTTTTACATTGAAATTGAATTCTTAGAAACAAGATAAGATCAATAAAATATCATCATACTAAATATTTAACCCACATTATTTTTTATGCATCACTGGAAACTGGCAATCCAGGTTGTTCCTAATTTGAGTATATGTCATTATGAAAATGGAAATTTACACCAAAGAAAGCACAAAAATTAAAGGGTTGAGCTATCAATCCTTCAGTTTACCAATATTGCTTCTCAGGCATTGTAAATGTATGGCATCAAAAAAGAGAGATGAGTGTCTTGATAAAGGAAGTAACATAAAGCTGGGAAAACGTTCCTTCCTTTTGCTACTGTTACTGTATAATAGAGTTATGAAGACCTGTACTTATGATTATATCTGGTGCTGTGGTACCTTATATGAGAGTAACTGTTATTTATACTCGTTTGTTTTATGTTTTTACATAGATTTTCCTATTTTTATACTTGTCCACAGTTTGTACTCCACTGTAGCTGTGATAATCCAGGCTGTGCTTTGCCTGTACTGTATTTGTGTGTTGTGTTTCAGTCTGAAGAGTTAAGTATATAATTATATTCCGTTGCAATGCTTCAAATATAAGGTGTTTAAAACAAATAAGTTTTCACAGTATGAATTATCTAGTTATCAGGTTATTGTTTTATAAGGTTTTCAGCTTGATTTATTCCTCTACTATTTCAGCATATTGTTTTGATCGTGTTTATCCAACGTAGCTTTATTTCTGAACTGTTGGCAATGCATAAGGTTACCACACATATTACTGGCCATCAGTTGATTGAGAGACGCGATGTACATATTTTGTGTGTGTTGATATATATTAAGATCATAGCATCTCTGATGATCTCTTATAACTGAAACTTCAGATCAGAACTCAGAGAAGAATTAAGCATCAATTGATAAATCAATTGAATATGTATCATGGCTACCTATTGTGGAAATTTTGTCAAATACAAGGAAAACAAATAGTATATTAATAGCTGTAATCATGGCAATATCAGGTTGATCTTCCTTGACGGCCTTGCATTCCATACATTACTATGGCTTATTTTGATGAGAGGACCATTGCGTCTGTGATTGTAACATCTCTATGCTGATTAACAATACATTATACTCTACCATAGCATATTACAGTACAGGTATTATGATAGAAATAGATCCTCAGCTCTGTTTCATGGTGATCTCTGTTACCTCATTCTGATCAGTTCACTGTTGTCTGACCCTGTTCTGATCATATCATACGGACTTTGTGCCAGACCTGTCCACAAACTCAGGACAACAGTACAGGAAATAGTTGAATTTAACAGGATTTATTTGAAAAGTAAGCATCTTGACAATATTGTCAGCCTGCCAAGGATTAATTTTATTGCCGTGGTATCAGAACGCTAGTTTTTAACCGTTTGTGCCAACTAGCTAGAGAGGGGGTTGATAATTTGACTTGTGATATATGTATGTAACCCAATAGTTTGCCAAGAGACGATTTTACATTATAGACTATTTCATTAATTAGACTTTAACACATTCCAATACAATACATATCTATAATCATGGACTTAATTGGATCTAATCTAATTCCGTGATTAAGATATAAAATTCTGAGATTCATGTTGATCTCCGTTACACAAAAACATGTCTATTTGGCTTTGAACTATCCACATGTCAAAAGGCCATCTTTATTTCACAATGAAAAGATCTGGTATTTATTTCACTGCTTCTAGTTTTGTTATACAGATAAAAATGTTACATTAATTCTGAAAATTGTGATATGATTATGATGAAAGTATATAGCTACATCAGTATGTTGATCCCATGCATTTGTGATATGATTATGGTAAATTGAAAATGAAATAAAGAATAAATAAAACCTGAGCCATGTGTGTTTGCCGTTATGATTCTTGCTTCACGGAATATGTGTGATATCAAACGCGTCGGGTCAGGAAGTTATTGTCAAGATGGAAATTTCAAACCACTACAACTCCTTGGATTGCTTCATTGTCGGATGTTGAGATATTGGAATACTCAGTAAATTACTGAAGTAAAGTACATTTGAATCTAGCAGGCAGTAGTATTCGGTGAACAATTGAGCTTAGTACTAGACATTAGAAGGCTGATACTGGCAGCTTCATACATGATGTGAGAGTAGTTTGATAGCTATTGGTATTATTGAACAGCTGAACTTCGTACTAGATGTCCTAACAGTTTAGTGGTATCTTGTATTACCACAGAACAGGTGAACTTCGCACTAGATGTTCTAACAGTTTATTGGTATCTTGTATAACCACAGAATAGCTGAACTTCGCACTTGATGTTCTAACAGTTTAGTGGTATCTTGTATTACCACAGAACAGCTGAACTTCGCACTAGATGTCCTTACAGTTTAGTGGTATCTTGTATTACCACAGAACAGCTGAACTTCGCACTAGATGTCCTAACAGTTTAGTGGTATCTTGTATTACCACAGAACCGCTGAACTTCGCACTAGATGTTCTAACAGTTTAGTGGTATCTTGTATTACCATAGAACAGGTGAGCTTCGTAATAGATGTCCTAACAGTGTTAATAATAATAAGATATTTTATTTATCCAGGGATACATATATTTAGACATGTCTAACTTACAATATGGCCCTGCATCAATATAATATTTATTTACAGATATCACAGAAAAGTACACATAAGCTACCTGAAAGACGTTTGCAGATTAAAATACACGTATATTAATAAACACAAATACAATACTTATTTAAAAGTACATTGTTATATCATAAAGTAAGTACCAAACTATTTTTTGGAGGAGAAATCCTGTCGGTAATTGAGTTTAAAAGCAGCAACACTACACGCATTTCTAATATTTCCATTCAATCCATTCAATAAAACAGAACATTTGTACACAAATGAACGTTTAAAATAATTAGCTCTAGCAGTGGGAATATAAAACTTGTTGGAAACTGATGACCTTGTATTTCTAAAACTGATATCTTTGACATAGGTAAACAAACATATCACTTAAAACACTTGGAGTATCCCCATGTAAAATTTTATAAGCCAGAACTACTTTCCTAAAAATAAAATAATCTTTAATTGGCAGCCACTTTAACTGTTTAAAAAGCAAAATGGAAAGGGTAAAAACGTCTCTTATATTTAACAAAACTCTAGCTGCCCTTTTCTGAAGTTTGGAGATGTTATGAATACGGTAGCTTGTTTTACCATAGAACTAGCAGTTTAGTAGTATCTAGCATAACATTTTATAATGCTTTCTGCAACAGTGGTCGATACTTCAAAAAGACTGAAAGAGCAGCCTTCAGAGAAAAAAAAGATGTGTTTTTATAAAAATAAGTAAACTGAATTGTAGGATGTGCAAGGAACGATGGATTGTGTTATTAAATCGTGTGTCCTTTAAAACCTTTCTGGAGTGGCTTTGTAAAAAAAACTTCCTAGGTTATCGGTTTATTGGGGCAATGAACTAATGCGTCCAGTTTATGGTCTACACAATGTGTCAACTGACGGGGAAAGGATGAGAAAACGAAAGGCTTCTTTGACGACGATTTGGTGTTTATATAGTGATAAACTGAATTGTTTGTAAGTAGGTAAGTACCTTGTTTGCCGAGTTCAAGGAACTAATGCATTGTTAACTTTAAAACAATTTTAGGATTTCTATGACGACACAAATTAAAAAGCTAGGAAACAAAACATACCAAACCATTTGAACCATGATATTCCGCTTCATAAATTTACATACACTGGAATTATTTCATCTATTGGAATCATCAAGAAAGAGAATCCGAAATATCTTAAGTTCTAATATATAATACTGTTATCAAAATGTAATGTTTTAACGAATATCTATCAAAATATAAAGGACTGCATTTTATATCATCACTCTTCTGTTTACTGGAACACACTGCCGTTATAAACATCCATGAAGACAGTATAAGAGGTATGCTGTTTTACGTATTGACACGAAAATCTCTTGAATTGCTTGAATTTTGATAAAGCCAGAAGATGACCAAGCTTTTGACCAAATGATCTGCGTGTTTGAGCATCTTCTTGACACGGAGCAGGACGAGTGATCCGGCTTGACTTGTTGACGCACTGTTTACCTCCATTTGTCCCTGGCTGTGTTATTAAAGTATTAGAAATAAGGACGCTTTGTTTGCGACAAGTCCACTTGGCCATTTCTGAATTATATTCATGGCAGGAACACTATTATAATATAAATTAGAGTGGTCATTCCCGTGAACTGACCAAACACTTGAGGCCGTTTTGAAGTTTTGGGGGTTGGTCAAACACACCTGTATGGTCAAGTAACATGTCACCTAGGCTAGGCTATTACATACCGCTCACACCTCGCATAACTGGTCAAGTAATTTTGTAAATTGGAGATTCGATCAGCATCAAGTTACCAACACCTCAAGCTAAACGTGATATCAGAATAATAAAACACCGGAAAGTCAAAGCTCCATATTATCTAACTATAACCAAATCTCAACTTTTAACAATCCTACGTTAACCGAAAGGTGTCAGGGGCCATGACATCAAATACGAGTTTCAGTTACTCAAGGTACAAAATGCAATTATTATATAAAATTGTCTGTAGCACCCTTCTTAGTCTGGTCAGTACCTTTTCTCACAACACTCCAACTATTGGTACCGTATCGTTAATACACACATAGGGAGATATTAGCCAGGTGGCATATGACTAGTAGTTAGCGCCTGATAAGGCAGCTCCTGCGAATTCCTCAAAATTGTATTGATTAATGTATTATTTAATGTGTATGCTAATTGTATTGATTGTATATCTATGAACTGTAAAGCGCGTTAGAGTGGATCATGTTAGCTAGATAGGGCGCTATATCAAATGATGTATATCATTATTATTAGTATCATTGCACAAGTAGACAACTCCAACTTTCAGTCTCATAACGATGTACAAGTGGATGATCATTGATTTCGAGTGAATCGCTGATACTGAACATTTATTATAAAGTCCATGTTATTTTCAGGTTGGACTGGATTTGTGAAATTAGGCCAGAGAAGTGAGTTGTGACCATAAAATAATAGTTCTATGTCATGTATGAAATTCCCTAATGCCAAGTAGTCAGTTAAAGTTACAGCTTATAATGCGAAACGACATGACACTAGATAATAAAGGGAGATGTTAAAAATAGAAAAGAAAACAATGTGTAAAAAAGGGTTAAAAATGATTTAAAAATAAATAAATCAACCATTCGCGAAAAAATAGATTAAATTGAAAAGTAAACAACTTTACGGAAACCATGTTTGACAGAGGGGAAAAAATAAAATTCGAATTTAACCTTTCGCTTAAACTGGGTTAAATATATACTAGTTCATGCAAATCAGCAATTTGTTAAAAAAATATATAAATAAAACGGCAAAACAAAATCAACTATTTGCGGAAATCATACATGGTATACAAAACAATAATAAAAACATTATATTTCGCGAAAACCTAGATTAAACCATAGTTATTAAAACGACAGAAAGCAATCAGAACCTTTTGCGAAAACCTGGGTAAAATTACAAATTCAAAACAACATATACCCTTTGCAGAAACAAACCTCTAATATAACCATTCGCTGAAATTTGTGTTTTTAAATATTACAGCAAAACAGCATTAATACTTTGCACAAAAACAATAAAACATTAACCTTTGTCGAAAACTCAGTTAAAAATACAACGGAAAACACAATAAGTTCTTCATAAAAATCAAACATGGTTGAAAATAAATAAAAACTTCTTTTTTTTCTCTCTCACAAAAACCTGAGTTTAAAATAAAACAGGTAAGGGAATTTTTTTACTCTTCCAAAAACAATGATCAAAAGAAAAAGAAAACAACATGAAACTTTTGCGAAATCGTGCGTTAAGAATACAATACGAATGTGAAAGAAAATCTTTGTTATTTCATTGTTATAAAATACATAAATAAATCACACTCCTATATAACCTTTCGCTGAAACACGACCTGAAAATATAATAAAAAAAACATTCATCCTTTGCGAAAGTCATGCGTTTGAAAACAACAGGGAAACAACTTTAATCTTTCGCGAAAACCTTGGTTAAAAGTACGAAAACAAACGAACTTTAGCCCTTTGGGAAAATGATGGTTTAGATATAAAGGGAAAAAAGCAGAACTCAAATTTAAACTCTCAATGAAACCTTAGTAAAAAGTTTAAAGCAAACTATTTTTTTGGCGAAAACCGTGGCTATCTATCTTTTTATAAAGAAGGGGAAAAAAATCGTATTTCGCGAAAAACCTGTCTTCAAAATGAAAAGTTTACCAGCGTCCATTGTCGTATATTATCTACAGCGTTTATTGTCGTGTATTTATTATCTACAGCGTTTATTGTCGTATATATTATCAACAGCGTTCATTGTCGTATATATTATCTACAGCGTTCATTGTCGTATATATTATCTACAGCGTTCATTGTCGTATATATTATCTACAGCGTTCATTGTCGTATATATTATCTACAGCGTTCATTGTCTTATATATTATCTACAGCATTCAAGTTTTTTTGTCATCGACGGTTATGGCCGTACGCTATAGGCAGCGTTCAATAGTGTATTTCTCTTCATTAATTGATAACGAATAGGACATATTCTAATGACGGTCGTGAACCACGGTGTAATTAGTATAGTATGAAAACTGGTATACGTGGAGAAGAGGCGGGTGATGTACTAAGACGACTGCTACAATTGTACTACAACAGTCAGAGACACTTCTCTAGAGTCAGATATACTTTACTAGGGACAGAGGTGATCTTCACTGTCCGTCAATAGGTGTTAAGGTGTGTTAGTCTGACATTACAGAAACTTGGCCCGTCCATATCCAATGTCCATTTTTAAT